ATTACCATCACAAGAACTGTATTAGCCTGCTCACTTCATATGTTCTGAGAGGAAAAAAAATCTTAATCTGGTGTAAGTCTCCAGCTCTGCTACACATCTTCTCCGATCTTCAGGATGAGGGAAATATAATGAGCAAATTGGAATATATCATCCAACCAATGTCTCTAGATTGATTCTGATGATTTCTGTCCATCAAATCTAACTGGGTTGTAGGTTTTTCAGGTTGTATGGCCATGTTCTAGAAGCATTCTCTCCTGACGTTTCACTTGCAGCTGTGGCAAGCATCCTCAGAGGTTGTGAGGATGCTTGCTGCAGATGCAGCCAAAATGTCAGGAGAGAATGCTTCTAGAACATGGCCATACAACCTGAAAAACCTACAACAACCCAGTGACTCTGGCCATGAAAGCCTTCGACAATAAATCTAACAGTATTTATCAATGGAATGCATTCCTTTCCAAAAACCTCTCTGCAGAACCCAGGTGTGTTGATAGACCCTCTGAAAGATATCAGAGGTTTGCCTGGACATGGAAACAAAGGAGAGGCAGGGTATCTATTTAGTTAATAAATAAATAAATATGGGGTTTCAATCAGGTTATCATCAAGATCAGAGGTTCAGTTAAAGGCAGAAGAATTTACTCATTACATTTTCCCTCCTGCAGTGAAGAAAGCATACATCTATCAGAAATTCATTCAAGTGAAAAGGCAGGCATCAAGGCAGCATTTTTTACTGCACAGTACCATCATAAGTCAACCTACTATTAAAGAGCTTTAATTCTGCCATCTGTCAAATGTTAGCTGGTACTCTCCCAATAAAGTTTGCTCACTCTTTGCTGACTACAGCAGAATCGGAGGACATTAAGCACTTGTTCAGAATGGTCATTCAATTAAACTAACATTGTGTCTTGCTTGTTGGTTTAGAAATTTTATCCCTTGGGTAAAAGAGAATGTGGAAGAAAAGCCATGCAGTTCAGACCGGTTTCTTTAAAAACTATGAAGTAATGTGATATGTAAGTTCAGAACATTTAAAGCAGAGATGGGGAACTTGAGCCACTCCAGATGTTGTTGGATCTCAACTTGTGAAATGTTTCATTTGCTCAGGCTCATGGTAGGTGCAATCCAACAAAATCTGAAGTGTCAGAAATTACCCAAAACAGATATTATAAATCATCCTGTAAATGGGTTGATGGCTGAAAAATACAAAATATTTACGGGAGTATTGTTTTTGTTAACTCTCATATTAGTGACAAACAATGTGAAACACATAAAAGAGAAATCTGTTTTTAGCCATGCTTAAATATGCTGCCATTGAGGTTGAAAACTGAGTAAGAGACTGAAGAAGCTTCAAGTAAAAAAAAAAAATTGCAAAATACTACAGTCTCCCAATCTCTCCCCTTTCCTCTCAAAAGCTGAATCCTAGTTGACTTTATGTACTCATTCAACCCAAATGTAGATTCTCTTTAAATTTCTATTAAGACAGAAATAAGATCAAAACAGGTTTTTTTTTTTAAAAAAAAAAACCATTTGCTTGCAGAGGTCACAGCAATAGGGAAGCAGGAAGGAAGACAATTGTTAAATAAAGTGTGAATCTCCTCTGAATGTGTCAAGGGCAGAAGTTAGAATTTTCAAAGCAGAGGCATTTAGTTTGAACTGTAGCTGGATACAAATCATGACCTAAGAAGGAAAAGAGATTCAGTGATGGCGATGGAGCACTCAGAGGAAAAACAGAAGCAAAGGGAACTGACACAACCCATCAAAAGCCATAACATGCAGTTGATAAGGTGGAGCAAGGAAAGGGGATGCTGACAGGACATAAGAGATGGTGGTATACAGGACAAGGGAACTGCAGCAGATGAAAGGCATAATATGTCTGAAGGCAAGCCAGGCTCTACTCAGCCTTAAAATATATCAAGAGGTGCTGCCAGCCAGCAGATTCTTAACTATTATTACTTATGGAGCTTTGGAGGAATATAAACCAGTGATTCCCTTAATAATCTAGAAAATGAGCTTGCAAGATTTGTCAAACAGATTTATAATCTATTTAAAACTTGCCCCACAAAATAAGAGGGACTAGCACAACTCGGGCAGCTCTGATTGATCTACAGTGGCCTATTGTTTCTTTGTACAAATTATTCCAATGTATATTCACTCTGAATGTTAATAAGGCCACCTAGAAAAAACACTATTTTTGAGAACAATTACTTATGGTTGTCCACATGTGCTGGGCTTAAAAACACAGGACCACTACAGAAGTGGAATAAAAACACTCATAGTATCTTCTCATTTGAGAGAACACGTCTCTAGGAATCTCTAAGCCATCCAGTGCATCTTTAATGGAAGCTGACCATAGTGTCACACTGGAGGACCTAGAGATTCCTAGGGAGGCCATATTAATCAAATGGTGAAGGAATAATTGTACTAGTAACATAAATTAAAGTCACCTAGTAAATATCAGGCAGTAATTTCTCAGTAGTGGATTGCACCATACTCTAATATGGCTGAAGTAAGTGAAAGAAAGAGAGGAAGAATTCACTCAATCCTCAAGGCACTAGCTTTATACATGTAATTGTAGTATGGAGGAAAGCAGCACAAGGAGTTAGTGTAGGGGAGACAAAGATGTGCTGCACATCTGCATTCATCCTGTGAACAAAACAAATCTTTATTGCAACATATAATTGTAGGGTTGCAACTATCTGGATAACTTGTTGACTGTGATACTATCAATATAGTGAGGGTAATTTCATTATCCATCACCAGTAGTTAGGATATCCAGTTTAACAAAGTAAGGGTTAAAAAGGATTTATTCAAGTTGATGCTACTCATGATCATTTTTCCCAAGATGATTGTATGCCTATACCCACCCAATATTTGCAGTTCAATCACAGTGGTTAAAGGCATTGGGATGGAATGGACATCCATAATGGTTTATCTCCAGGTTGAAAAATGAGTTTCCAGACAGCCAAAAAAAATCAATGTAAGGAATTATAATAGGTGAGTGAGAATTTTGTACAATTTTCTTCCATTATTTGAACATCCCAAAGTATACTGGAGGATTTTTTAAATAGATAAAAACATTTAGTCTTTTTGTGGGAAAAACTCTGTGCAGAAAAAAGTTTGGGGTTCTGTTTGCACAAAAAGAACAGGTGTTTTCCTCTACAGAAAAAAACTCCTCCTCAAAATATTGGCATGCTAGAATATTGTGGAAAAACATTCATTTTTTCTCATATAGTGTAGGGAAAACTGCTGTATATTTGTATTTACATGTGATAATGAAATGGGCAAGGATATATATCCCTACTAGGCATACTCACTAGCCAGTGCAGTAATTAATGATGCTGGAAAAGGATCAATAATATTATTTCCAACAATTATTTGTCTTATTGAATTTTGCTTATAACAGATACAAGATCCTTATAATTTAATGAGCGACTCATTTTACAAAACACAAAAACAGAAACTAAAGTTAACTTCCATTGCATTATATATTAATAATATGAGGTGTACATTTACACGAAGAAAGACCACTTAGTAGTTTCCATTTCTTTCCCAAGATTTTCCCAGCTTGTTGTTCATATAACATTTTAATACTACTTCAATGTGAGAACCCCTACTATTCCCAAAAGCATTATGTATGGGTTGCTGTGAGTTTTTCAGGTTGTATGGCCATGTTCCAGTACCATTCTTTCTTGATGTTTCTTGATGTTTCACCTGCATCTGTGGCAAGCATCCTCAGAGGTTTGGTCAGAGGTCTGTTGGAAATGAGGCAAGTAGAGTTATATATATCTGTGGGTTGTCCAGGGTGGGGGAAAGAATCTTTGTCTATTTGAAGCAAGTGTAAATGTTGCAATTTTCATGCTTGATTAGCATCGAGTAGCCTTGAAGCTGCAAAGTCAATCAGTATTATTTAATTTATTCAGATTCAACAAATGTTACATTTAGCAAAGGACAAGAGGGATTATCTAACCACTGCAAGAGTCTACTGTATACCATGTCGCTGTGGATAAGACTACATAGGGACCACTAAATGCAGCACCCAAACACGATTTAAAGAACATGAAAGGCACTGCAGACTAAGTCAACCAGAGAAGTCAGCTATAGCAGAGCACTTGATGAACCAACCTGGACACATAATATTGTATGAGAACACAGAAATGCTGGACCACTCTGACAACCATCATGTCAGACTACACAGAGAATCAATTGAAATCCAAAAGCATGTGGAAAATTTCAACAGAAAGGAGGAAACCATGAACATGAACAAAATCTGGCTACCAGTATTAAAAAAATACCAGAATCAAGACAGTAAATAAAGAACACCATTCATTAACAGGGGAATTCCAGACAGCAAACCATCAAGTGCCAATTAACACCCCCCAAGGAAAGGATGACCCCAGGCAACAACATTGATTGGCTTTGCAGCTGCAAGACTACTCAATGCTGATCTAGCTTGCAAGCTCCGAACAAACCTATAAGAATGGTTGCCACAGATGCAGGTGAAACATCAGGAAAGAATGCTACTGGAAAATGGGCATACAGCCCAAAAAACTCACAGCAACCCAGTGATTCTGGCCATGAAAGCCTTCAACAACACAGCATTATGTATGTTTCTGTCCTACTCTATAACTGATATTTTTCATAAAAAACATAATGGGAAATAAGGAGGACTAAAAATAAAGACAACAATAGCAGAACTTCCTGCACAGTTTTCACTTTATCTGGAAGCATGGTATACATTGAAAAAGTAAAAATATCCCAACATGAATATTGTGCACAATGTAGATAATATGGCTAATTACTTCTATCACATATATTACTTTAATTAGTAAACACAGAGACATATGCTTTTCAAATAGAAAAATAATGAACAGGTATCCCTTCCTGAAAATAAAAAATGTACAGAAATCAAATTAACTGTACATCATTTTTGTCTGTCCTTTGAAACAAATTATTGACTCTCAAAAGATAGAAAAATATTTGATTTTGAAATATGTAAAAATACTCACCATCTTTACAGACTAGACCAACTACACAGAGACCTGTATCTAAGATATAGCCATTTGGACAACTTGTACAATTTTTCTCTCCTGGACCACTGCACCCCAAACAGTTGATATCACATCTTAATAAAAAAAAAACAGCAAGTTATATGTTAATTGTGAACATTAGAATCACACAAAACTTTGCTTCACACTTTCAACTTCACAAAAGAACGGCATTGTAAAGTACTCTAAAAATATATTAACAACAAAGTGAAGATGGTAGGGAGAAATAACATAGCTGTATCATCTTAGTTGCATTTTAAGGGCACATCCAGACAGCTTGCAGAATGTGTGAGCTCCCACATTTTTCCAAATAACGCCTAAGGTAAAAGTGAATTAATTTGGCACAAAGCAGGAAACCCCTGCTTTGTGCCAAATTAATTTGACATGTGGAAAGATCTGGGTTTTTCAGAAGACCCGAGTCTTTCCAGCTGTGGGCCCTGTGTGGATTGGGCACATGGTTCATGGTGCATGACTTCTGAGCCCAATCCACACAGCTGCCTCGGGATTTCCAGGCTCCTGGAGCCTGGAAAACCTAAAACAGCCCCCATCCGCTCCACAAAACCACTGTAAAAGCCTTATTAACTAAAAATTACTATTTTTTTGTGGCTCAAGCTACTGTTCATCCTTGACCCTTGTAATCCCCTCTCCTTCCCCCTCCTTCCCCCCTACCCTCCCTTCCCTCATGCCCCCCTTTCCCCACATCCAATCATTGGGTCTTCTTGATCCATCCATGGCCCTTGACCTTCCTAAGTGGGAAGGGGGGCAGATTCATCCTATGGCCCAGAGCCTCCCTCCCCCAGAGTGCTCATTTTTTTGAACTTTTGTTTGCAGTGTTTCTAGTTTTCTTTTTGCAGTCCGATACCTCCAACAGTGCCAATTATTTCCTCCAATCCCCTTTCTTCCTCTAGTGTTCTTCCTCCATCAGCTCCTTCTGCTTTCTCTTTTTCTGGTTGAAGTCCTCAAGTGCTAGACTGTTGCCTACATGAAGTTTCACCAGACTATTGCAAGAAAGCTTCTCTTTATCTGCAGCCTTTGTCTTTCAAACTTCTCCCAGCAGGTTTTTCCCAGATTAGAAGCCTCTGTTTCTTCAATTGTGTATACTGCTTTCTTGAGTCCCCTAGTTGGGTCTTCGGGTTCTCGTCTGACTAAAAACCAATTATTGCCCACTGACCAACTTCCCAACTGACCTTTTCTTTTCTCAGACTCTCTCAGACTAGTGAGAATCCGAGACTTAAGAGGACTATCTGATTCTTTCCTCACTTGGAACGGACTTGCTTTAACCTATTTTAAATCAGAGATCTCTTCTTAGTCTGGGAAACTCCCTACATGCCTTTAAAAAAAAAGGTTGAGGCAGTTTTTAAAGGCTGTACATCCTCTCCATTCTTCTCCCATGTCCATTGGATTTAGGTCATGCTTGACAATTCAGGTACCTTGAAGCCCTGTAGCTTCCATCACTTTTTTTTTGGTATTAATAGAAATACAATTATTATTAAAGAGCCACTTCCACAGAATGAGTCGGAGATGAATGTGGTTCACATCCCTTGATTTGAGGAGAAGACTTTCTGGTGGAGTTCCAGTTCGGTCAGAGCTGCAGCCGCTTGATGTCTTTGCTGCAGAAGTCCATCTGCAGTGAAGTGGATCCTGCTTGTCACTGCCACAGAGCAGCTTGATAAGATCATTCTAGTGTACTGTTACTATATGAAAAAGGTTGATTTTTTCCTGAACCTAGCAGGTTTTGTTTGAGAATCTCAGAATTAGAACTAAACAGCAAATACTACACTTCAATTTATGTAATTGTAACATTAATTCTATCTTGGACAGTGAAAAAGGTTATTTACTCATTCAATAATGACAGTATTGCTCTTTGTGTATCCCCAGAACACACAAAGTACGTTTCATAGCTACCAGAGGCATCTACACTAGGATTAATGCAGATTGACACTACTTTAACTGCCATAGTTCAATATCATGGAATCAGAGGAGTGGTAGTTTGGCTAGAGACCTTGCAACACTACAACTCCCATGATTCCATAACACTGAACCACATAAGTTAAAGTAGTGTCAAATTTCATTAATGCTACAGTGTAGATGCATCCTTAGAAAAACAGGAATCACATATAATTTCTAGAACTCACATGAAAAGTCCATATTAAAGTAACACATGAAAATTTCACTTACTAAGGTGCTCCATGTCAACAGCATTTTTTCTATTTAGTCATACTTTACCCATTATACATTTAGGCATTTGATGCATGAACACAAACAGAACACGGATTACAGACAATACCCACTAACCTTTTGCAACTTTTGTATCCATTTTCTAGAGACTGATCGAAATAGTAGCCATTGTTGCAAGCTAGCACGCATCTTCCATTTTCCATAAGATACTCTTCTGTGCAATTTAGACAAGCATCAGCTCCTGGGCCTCAAAAGCCAACAGAACAAACAAGGTACATATTGACGTATCCTCAACAGGGGCAAAAACAGTAGATATGCACTTTTTAAAACTTGTGCAAAGAAAGATAAGCAATTACTGAAAATACATTGGTGGGACTGAAATAACTCTGTGTGAATACTTTCATTGAGCCAAACACTCTTCTGTTTGAAGGAGAAGTTTCACAAAATTCTTGCTCAACAGAGAATTGCATATTTCCTAAATGTTCAGAGAATCTTCTGAAGTGACCTCCAATGCAGCAGAAAGAAAAGTTGGTGGCAATAGAAATTGAAATGCAATGGATCCTAGGCATTCCTTCTTTAGCTGCACACAATGTATTACAAAATATGTAGCATATGAAAACTCATTTTGCTTAGGCAAATTTAGAAGTTCAATCAAAATAACTACATCCTGTAAGATATTTCATGATGAGCATTTCAATTGCTTACCATAACTGTTGTTTAGATTATAAGAAGCCAAGATCCACAGCACGAGAGGGTTTTTTTTTACAGCAAATTCCTCATAGCAATATTACAAATCACAATTGCAATAGTATGTGAAAAATATATCATATCAATTCTGTGGTATTTTCTTAGGAAAATAAATGTCTAAGAAAGTCCAGTGTTGTGCAATTTGTCTGAATATCTTTCTTTTCATGCAACTAAATAAAAAATGAATGCAAATGAATTAAGTATTTTCAAGTGGCATTCACATCAATTAGAGGAACCGCTGCTTGATATTAGAAGAATATTATGAAAGCCTTCATCAATAGGGGGTAACACAGGAAACAGTATTACAAGGACCTCAATTAGCAATTTATGGAAATATTGTGACTATATTGCAAGAGGAATAACAATTATTCAGTTGATTAAAAATATCAGAGATACCTGCACAAGAAGCACATGAATGGTGGCATGGTTCACAGTCCCTGCCATTATAATATTTCCCTTCTTCACAGCGGATAACACATCTGGAGCCTTGTAAACTGCACAGAAACATACGAACCATAAAGCATAAAGATTTGTGAATAGCAATTAGAAACATCCAGAATACTGCAGTGAATTAAAAAAACCCCACTGCTATTAAATAGGTTCAGAATTAAAGCATTGTGCCTTATGCATACTAAAGATAAATCTGCAAAATCAATCATATTTCAGTTAAGAAAATAGAGTGTGGCACTTAAATGCTCAAGCATAATTAATTTCTATTACGCTATGCCCACTAACGGTAATCATAGCCCATAGAAGACAGTTGTACTGCACAAATAGAACTAACTCAAATCTCACTGGTAAGGGAAATAGGCCTTCCTCCTCTGCTCACAGTCACAGAGCTCTTTCTGAGCTCATGGCCATCATGGACACCCTATCCTGACATCAGATCGGCTCCTTCCTTCTGCCTGGTCATGTGGGTATCTCTGCTGAGGTCAGAGTGAGGTGCCTGCAATGGCCAGCTCACATGGAGCTCTGTGGCCAGCTGGGACAGGCAACAGATATATGGAAAGTGAAGTGATGGTCCAGCATGGCTGATATAATTTAGGACATGAATAAAAAAATTTAATTTGAGCAGACTAAGGCTGGATCTACAATGTCCTATAATGCAGTTTGAACTTCATTATATAGTCGGTGTAGACCTATGTAATTACATGAGCTAACACTGACCATATTATGCAGTTCAAACTGCATTATCGGGCAATGTAGATCCAGCCTGAAAGATGATGCTCCATTTTACCATTTTCTTATGCTTATGATATTAAAACATTTATATAGAAAAAAGAAATTATAAGTTAATAATTTGTACTTCTGTTTCCAAATATTGCTCACTTATCCTAATTAATGAAGCCTGATTTCATTTATGATCTAAAAGTGTATGCATTAAACAATGATGGATTAAAAAGAAATGTTGTTGCTGGTGGTTACAATCCTATACCAATGTAGTTGGAAATTTCTATTGATATTCACAGACATATATATGTACTGAAATGCAAAGATATGGAATGAGGGATGCCTGGTGAATAAGATCTTGGCATCCTAGTAGACAAGAAGTTAAACACAAGCCAACAATGTGATGCGGCAGTTTAAAAAGCTAATTGAATTTTGGCCTGCATAAATAGGAGTCTAGTGTCTAGATCCAGGGGAGTCATGCTACCCCTCCATTCTGCCTTGGTCAGACCACACCTGGAATATTGTAGGCAATTCTGGGTGCCACAATTCAAGGGAGATGTTGGAATGTGTACAGAGGAGGGTGACTAAAATGATGAGAGAACAAGCCCAAGGAGGAGCAGCTTAAAGAGATCAGCAACACTCTGCACCAGAAAGGCTGGATGGCCACCTGTTGGGGGTGCTTTGAATGCCATTTTCCTGCTTCTTGGCAAGGGGTTGGTCTGGATGGCCCATGAGGTCTCTTCCAACTATGATTCTTTGATGCCATGATTCTATGACTGTTTATTGATATAAATGATTGTCCATAGGCACTTCACTCCATGTATCTGATGTAGCAGGGCAATGTATGGAAGCATATTTTGCAAATTTCATTTAGACCACATCTACACTGACCAGTAAATTTGGGGCCAATCCAAAGAAGAAATGCTCTGGACTACACCCAGAGGCAGCTACATTCACTTTTCTGAACCTGCAGCAGTGGCAGGCTTATGTCTACATGGTCCAGCTGAGCTGATACATTAGCCATGCTGGACCATCACTTCACCTTCCATGTCACCATTGCCAACTCCTAGCTGGCCACAGAGCTAATTAGAACAAGTGAACAAGATTTGGAAGCACAAGCACAAATTATTAATTCATAATTTCTTTTTTTCTATATGAAAGTTTTAATAGTGAAGACACAAGAAAATGGAAGAATGGGGATTTGTTTTTCAATCTGCTCAAATTCAGTCTCTTTATTCATGTACGCAATTACATTATTCAGGATAATATATAACTATACGATAAAATGCTATCACATTTACTTGAGGTTAAATGAGGATATTATGCAACGTTCATTGTTGCCTGTTCATATATACAGATGCTTCCTTGACTATCATGTAGAATTTAAACTACTATTTCCTTACCTTAGGCCATGTCTGCATTCTGTACAGGTTTGAAATTCAGTGCATGTCTTACAGTTTTCACTGCATTTACGACAGACAATCTTATCTGGAAAGAGAAAGAAATGCAGTTCAGGAAAAAAATAGTTCAACAACATTCAATTAAATGTTATGGATGTGTCTCTTTGCTTATTGCTTTTTCTAACCTGATGCCATAAATGGGAGCTAGAAAGCAACAAAAGTAACATTTTTCAAATAATTTCAATTATGTCCATATATCCAAGATTTTATTTTATTGAAAGAAAATTCTTTGTTGTAAAGCCTGGTTTGGCAAAACGTTTTTTGGCTGACTTACAGTAGCGCTTTTCACTTTTGCCAAAATAACAAGGTATATTTTAAAATGTAAGGCTTTGCTTTCTCTTCCTCCTGAATACAAATTAACATTGAATATTCTACAATTAATTTGTTTTGTTTACCTATTAATGCATTGAATGCTACAAAATGTAAAGCTACAAAAGATGGCATTCATCAACATTGTGCTGTACAGAATTAAAATGCATATGTAGTACAACCTACATATCTGCATAGCCTATCTGTCTGAACGTATTCCCCCCATGAACCATCTCGGAGATTAATATCGTCTGGGGAGGCCCTGCTCTCTGTCCCACTTTCTTGGTGGTGGCCCTTCCTTGTGGAACTCCCTTCCTAATTACATCAGATCAGCTCCCTCCCTCCAAGCCTTCAGAAGTAGAGTAAAAGCCTGGCTCTCGGAGCAGGCTTTTGAAAAATAGTGCAGTAATTTTAATGTGGAAAATGTGCAATTTGACAACGGAATGACCTTAGACTTTGACCCTGGATGGTGTGATTACACTGAAATGTATTTAATCATGTTTATTATGTATTAATTTTCATTCAAGTTTATTTTAAGTTACCATTGTATGTTTTTAAGGCACTGTGGAAGTGCCATATGTAAGCCACCTTGAGTCCCCCTTGGGGAAGAGAAAGGTGGAATATAAATAAGGTAAATAAAGAAATAATTAAAAATATGCTTCTGGACTTCGCGTAGATATGCAAAGCTGTGAATATTTTAATAGGGTTTGCTGTGAATAACGGATTTCTTGTTCAGGAATGCCACAGAATCTCACTGGAGGTACTAGAATAAGCCTAGAGAGGACATATACTGTTGGATATGGATAAATGAATTTGCAGATAAGGGAGTTGTATTGTGTAGACATTAAAGACATCTTTCTGCCTTTCCTCACTAAGGAATTCAAATCTATGTATTGCACAAAAATGGTATGAAAACTGAGCAGAAACATTGAGGAAGGAAAGCAGAATTATAGTATTATTTGTAGGGGGAATGACAAGGCCATTGCAAATTGAGAAATTAATGTACAGGTCAATGACAGCGCCCCAGGTTCCCCTTTCCTGCTCCAGAGCTGCAATCTCCAATCAGTACTGACACTTTTTCTGTGAAGCACAGAAAAAACCCCCAATATTTCCTGCTGGATGTAGATCACTGCCTTCCTGTAATGCCTTTCTCAGAGGAAGTGAATGCTGTACATCTGGGCAAGCATGCAGGGTCCATAAATGACCCTAAAGTTCATATAATTGCTAAGGTCCATGCCTGGAGAAAATACAAACTAAAAATGGCATGACATGAAAAATATTAAACAAAACCAACAAAAACCAGGTGTAAGGAGATGAGAATTGTGCATTGATAGAAATCTCCACTTTTCAAGATTTCCTTTGTTTATAATTCATTGTTTTATGTATTAAAATATTTTCCAACAGTAAGTAACATTGTCTGCAGAGAAAATACTTTTTGATTTTACAAATTTTACATAGAATTTCAAAAATATATTTTTTAAAAAATATTATTATTTTCAAAATTATTGTGAATAGTGCTACACAAAATTATACTTTCAAAACATTTTCCATTGGTAACACATGTTTACATTATTCCCCACTTTGCTGTATTTATTACTATTGTTCTATCATGAGGATAATCTTGTTAAATTCCTTATATTTATCTTTTCCCTTTATTCTGTATTTTAAGACTTGAAACTTTGTAACTAAAATATAAATTTGATTTAATTAAATCTATATAAATATATAGAATGAACCACATAATTTATATTATTTTGTGTTATGGAACTACTCTTCATGATTCACTAAAAAAGATTTCAAGCCCCCCCCCCTCCCCCCCGCCCGCTTTTTTTTTCTGGCTATGACCCTGCCTGTTTCAATGTACCCTATGATAGGAAGACTACCATAGTCTTGATTTTCTACCATCTCAACCTGCGGCACCTTGGAAACCTTTGGTTAAAATATCACCTGGTTTAAGGGAAAGATTTTTGAGCTCACATTCAGTTTTTAGGAGTAGCATTAGCTGAAACAGCTGCCATGATAGAGCTTCATTGCTCAAGTTATGGCAGATGATACAGCATCTTGGCCATAACTCCCATTCAGCAATACAATAAAAGTGCCACCATATTATTGAGAAGAATATGCCAACCTCTGCAAACTAAGTAAATTTTCTTAGGGGAAACACAGATAAACATTCTCCAAGAGAGCTCTTAAACAGCAAATCAAGTTTAATTAAGAAATTATTGCTTATTACCAAAACAGACAGAAATAGAAATATGGAAAAAGAAGAAGCTTAAGACACTAGAGTTGAAGAACTGGCTGTTAGACATCAGGAAGTTTTGTGGCCCTTTGAGTACTTAGAGGTCAGAGACTTAGAATGTAAAGAGTCCATTTGATTATTTACAAAGAATTTGTAATCCGAAGCAGCCATAAATGGCCAATGTTGTTTGCCACCTCATGCCTTGGAGATGTTTCTCTTTTTCCCCCCTTTCTGCTATGGAAAAGGGGTTTTTTTTAGCAGCTATTGAAGGTGCAGGGCCAAACAGGCATGTTTACCAACACAAAATCATAGCTGTTGCTGGAATACAAGATGGAGCATCTTGAAACAAAACATGCTTATGTATAAAGTAGTTAAAATTCAGATAGGGATTGGATCAGTGAAAAAAAAAAAGCTTAAAAGCTTATTCCTCTGTCTGAACGGAGTAACTTACTACTTAAAGAAAGTCAACACAAAGTTTGCTGGTTGGTGAAATCATTCAAAGACAGGATATTCCTGAATTTGTTTTAATTTGGATGTTTACAAACTTAGGCATTCTACTCTATAATTGATTTTATAATGTAAACCCGTTGGAGATTTTTAGCATTAAATAATTTTATAAACTTGATAATCTCACCATTTTTACTAGTTTTTCAACTTACTATTCCACAATTTTACAATTTTATTATCTATTAGCTAAACATTTATTATCTTTGTAATTATCATTTTATTAGTATTTTGCTCGGTTTTCCCCTCCCTGCTTTTTTACAATTTTACTATAGCAGAGTCTCGCGGGCCGGCAGAACATTGGATAAGTGAAAATGCTGGATAATAAGGAAAGATTAAGGAAAAGCCTATTAATTGTCAAATTACGTTTTGATTTTACAAATTAAGCACCAAATCATTATGTTCTACAAGAAACTGACAGAAAAAGCAGTTCAATACATGGTAACATTATGTAGTAATTACTATATTTACAAGTTCAACCCCAAAACAGACAAGGGTTCTTTCTTTCTCCCATCCTGGACATTATTTCACAGGTAAATATACACTCCACTTCCCTCACCTGTGGAATTCGGCAGGAGGCAGACTGTGTTGAATAATACAGAACATTGGAAAAGTGAAGGTTGGATAAGCAAGACTCTACTGTACTTTATACATTTTACAAGAGTCATATTCTGGAACTCTTAAAGCTTATAGCATCAAAAGCACAAAGTACAGAAGGACAAAACTGTTCTGGGTTCTTTTATCTTAACTAGCTTTCAGTGACTAGGATTCTTTCTACAAGGGCCCAGCTACGCAAAGCCTCTACTCTGAACACTGTGCCTAACCTAGTTCAGAGGTCAATTCTTGAATACTATGATCCAGCAAACACTGGGAAAGAACCAGAAGTAAGTGAGAACAGACTGAATCATGAATTCATGGATTTGACTGCACTACTGCGAAAGTAAATTTGATAATAGCTTATGTTTCCCAAATACAAAGTGATCTAGGATGTGACAAGATGTATTTAGTTACTGTGGACCATCTTGCCAGGTCTGCTTCAGGAAGGTTCTCTACTAGACCTGTCAAAAAATAAAGTCTACTTTCTTTATTAGATTTTTAGATTAAGTGATGGATGGATTTTTTATACTTACCTCTCCTCTAATTTCTGTTGTTTATTAAAATGCAATTCTTTTCTGCTTTTTTATTTTATTGAAAAAGTTGTTATAAACTATTTGGTGTTTAAGCTAAAATAGGAATGCAGTATATAAACTATTGAAGAAATAACATCTTAATAGTACAGAATGTCAGGATGATAATTTCCAGTGATTTCTAGTATTCTAACAAATAATTAATGACAAAAAACTTACTATTATCCAGGTAAAATCCATCTGGGCAGCTAGTGAAACAACTCCTAGTCTCTTCATTGATATAGTAACCTGGTTTACAAGTATTGCATTGATCATTGTGACTTCCAAAACAAGTTTCACAGTTGGGTGAACATTTTTTGCAACGTTTCTTGTCTGCGCTGTAGTGACCAGGTGGACAGTTGGGAACACAGATGCTACATTGTTCAAAATAATAAAAGACAACCCAAGTTATCAACAAATTTGACAGGGGAATAAAAACCAACCCAGAATACTGTTTTTTTTTCAACTAAGAAGGCAGTTTATCTGTGAAAGCACGGACTATAACCAAGGGTGGTACAAACCATTTTTTTCTGCTTTATATAAATTTTATTCCTGGATACATGCTTCCTATATTCCACCAGGCAAATCTAATTGAACAATGGTTAAGACTGTCAGATTTTGGGGGAAAAAATGCTACCTCATTCATATAAGAGTCCATATTTCACTGAATGATGCAGCTCTACATTGCACAGTGTTTCTCAACCAAAGAGTTGGGACCCCTGGGGGAAGGTCGTGCGGGGGTTTCAGAGGGGCCATCAAAGACCATGAGAAAACATATATTTCTGATGGCCTTAGGAACCCCTTTGGCAGAGAAAGCTGAAGATCTCTCCACCTGTCCTTATCTTCCTTTTTGGAAACAGAAGGCGAATCCTCCCACCAGGAAGGTTGAGAAATACTGACATATCATGATATAAACAACAACAATAACATTTTCCAAATATATCTCTTAATAACTAAATTAAATTAAAACATACTAAAATGAACCCTAATTTTCTTTCTCCTCTTTTTGAAAAAAAAAGTCAACTTGGCAGGCTAAGTGCATGTCATCCAATCCATCTGACTGTCCAAATAAAATAAGGCATTGTCTGCAGGGCATCATGAGGTGGCTAAGTGGATGTTTCACAGCTTTAGTACAGACCATAAGAAAACCCGCTCTTGTAGACCTGGCAAAAGCGAGGGAAAGATCTGAAATATATTGGCAGGACTAGAGAAAATCCTTCTTAGGAACTGCAGAAGATTAATTGGCTTATCAGGCTAGTGTAACAGAAGGCTGTCTTTCAGCTACTGTGCTTCCAAACTGTCAGAACTCTTTAGGTTGTAAGCAGCACTATCAATTTTGTCTTTAAAAAGGGAGAATGAGAATCATGCTTCCTATAACTTTCCTCAGTTAAGAGTCTGGGTGCAGCACTCTGGGTCCTGAAGCCTATTGTTAGACTCTCTGAATAAATTGGATGTACCTTCCAGCAGGATGCCAGACTGGTGTATGTGTGTGGTGGAGTAGTTGGAAATATAATGAGTACCTTCACACACACACACAAACACACACATACAAACCTTATCACCAAATTCCATTATCTTGAAGCTGCATAGAATAAATAATAATTTAAAATCCCAATGGCATTCAGCTCTAATATTTACCTTTTCATGTAACAAGCCTACTGCTGCTAATTATAAAGTTGTTTGTTGTGTTAAACAAACTGCAACACCGAAAATGGAGGGGTCTCATAAATGTCTCCTGGCAAACTGGGCTGCCAAATAAGTTAAAACTTATTACCTTCATTTTGGCGTACAATAGACAACATATTGTCTTCTTACCGTGTGTTGTTTTTAGATTTGTAGTAATAGTGTAGGCAGTCATTACAATGGTCTGGTCCTGGCCCACCACATCCTACTTTACTACACTCTGCATTACATGGACCTTTAATGAAAAGGGTAAAAATAAAATAAAATAGAAATCACAGCTATTACTGCTCAGTAAAAGTTAGAAATTACTTTGGCTTTTTCATGTATTTGACTTGGCAACTCAGAAAATAAAAACTGAACTATTAAGGGGAATTCAATGTCCTTGAGACAGACTCCTGTTGATCTGCAGCTGGTTTGGTTCATTGCCCACCTTCAATCATTATCCAAAGTTTTCTGAACTGGGACATATTCCAAAGGACCTCCTTGTGTTTTGCACAAATACATTGATGGTTGTATTTGAAAGAAAATGTTTTATGTTACCTGCATAATCATCAGCTCCATAATCTTCTGTAGGATCTTCTATTGGACTTGAACGTATTCGTTCAGCTTTTGGGAAATCATTTCTTGGAGAATAAGGTTGAATTGATGTCCCATAAAGTACTAAGGACCATTCCTTCAATTTTCCTAGATGGAAAATATGGATTGTTTATCTCTGTTTAATATCTTAAGGTTTTATTGGAATTTGAACTATAAATAGAAAATACAACTTTAATTATTATAAAATTACGATAGCTATTATCAATAACACCATCATAAAGCTGTGTGAAACACTAGGCTTTGTGCAACTTCCCATTCTTGTGCACATTTTTGATAAAAATTATAAAATGTGAAACATTTTAAAATTTGCACAAAAATTCTCAAAATCATGGCAGAGAAAAAACACTGGCATTCTTTCATTCAATGAAATAAATGAATATTTACATTCCCAGTAAACATTTCTACAATGGCAGAAATTTCTGCAAAAGAACACCTGATAATGACAGCTTGGGAAAAATACATAGATACTAGATAGATACTAAATAGATATTAGGTATCTTGTCTACAGATACCTAATGTTTCTAATATTTTCTGATATCTATGGATACAGTCTTATTCTGTATTCCATTTCCTCACCCATTCAAAAAGGCAAAAGTTGTGTTGTACTGTAGTGTAGAATAATAATAGAATCATAGAGTTGGAAGAAACCACAAGGACCATTAGTCTAATTCTTGCCATACAGGAAAAGCACCATCAAAGTACTGCCCACAGATGGCCATCCAGCCTCTGTTTAAAAGTTTCCAAGGAAGGAGCTTCAAACACACTTCAAGGCAGAGAGTTCCACTGCTGAACAGCTGTTACAGCCAGGAAAGTCTTCCTAATATTCAGGTGAAATATCCTCTCCTGCAATTTGTAGTATAGTGATCCCCTCTTCTTTTAGGTCATCCCAGGACAGACTAATCTCGTGCCTTTTGTCACTCTTTTCAAAGAAAGAGGTGGCTTCTTTATATAAATATAGGTTTAGTACAATACTTACATTGACAGATAAGTTGACCAAGTTGTTTTAGCAAGTTTTTGATTAAAATGTCTAGACTTATACATGAGTATATACAGCACATATTACAATATTTGGAAATATCTTTTATTAGGTTAAATCCCATGGAGCCAGTAACAAATAAAAATAAAAAGAGTTACTTTTCTATTGTATACTCTTGTGAATGTTAAAGAAAAAATTCTGTGTTCAATTGCCATTTTTGTTTTGATTTTTAAATCTGGATTTTATGATGTGCTTGCTGAAATTGTTCATGTTATATTTTTCACTGTTGTTAGTCAGTCTGGGTGTTTGGGAAGAGATGGGACCCTTAAATTGTATAATAAAGAATAAATTAATAAGATTTCTGAGACTGGAAGAACAAAAACATGTTCTTAGCTACACACATGGGGACCACAATTCTACATGGAGCCATAATTCAGTGTGTGTGGTGAGTTGAACCATTTTAATAATACCTGATGAGGGCTTTTTCTGAGCTTCTTAACTGAACAAAGATTTTTAACTTGGATATCTTACATTTGAGGCTGCTTTTTTAGTACCACACCACTGAAAACACTTTTCGGATAGATGGAGCATAAAGATTGCACTTTCTCACAATACCGTTTCAGCTAGTCTCTGAGCAGTTAAACCACAGAGTAGGCCTATGAAATATGAACAGGAGATATAAACTGCAATATCTAACATGAGACTATCAGAAAATGTGCTGTGGGAGGCAGAAGGAAAATACATTGCAGAAATATATCAAAAATAAATGAAGGGTGGGAAGATTCCAGGAGAATTCTAACAACAGTCATAAACCCCCAAAACCTCACAACTTGATAAATTTGTGTAAGAATTCAATCAGAAAACAAAGCCAGGCCATTAGAACTTAAAATTTTCCCCATCAAAAATAAAGAACTAAAATTACAAAAAGGCTAAGTTTATCCAAGACTTTTCTACCACTTTAACCCTAAAGTTATATCACAAACAGATGGAATTCATACCTGGAGTTTTGACATTTCTCAGCTGTGATGGGGTATCATAAATTTCCAAAATCCAATCACCAGCTGCTTTTTCACCCCAGCAATGAGTAGTCATGAATTCCCAGTTTTTAAACCCCTCCATGGAATGGTCAAACAACCTTTTAATAAAACCAGTACAAATGTGAATTTAAAAACAAAAGGATAAAGAAAAAAACATATATGAGCATTTACACACATATGCATGTTTTTCTCTTCTCTTGGTACAACACAATCGAGCTGTAATATACAATGCAAAGGTTCTCCAACCTCATTTAGGGCCATGAGCGCATTTAACAAACTGCGAAACTGTACCAAACAAAAGCATAGACATGGCAAATCAACAAAAACAAGAAATTAGCCCCAAGGATTTGCTGAAGCCAAGGATTGGTGTCGTTGCCTAACACACAAAGCATTTTCTCTGAAATAATATTTTATATTCTTGTGCTCTTTGATTCCAATCTCCCTCACACACATTCATAGGCACAAAAATCCATACACCCATCAGGCAAACAGACAAGTAGACATGGATGGATGCATAGAATCACATGCATTCACAAACTGCTCTTTTTTCCTTGGCACTGCAAGCTCATCAAAATATAGACAAATATTGTCCCT